AGCGGCGCATCGCGGTCTGCCACCGAAGAAGGAACAGGTATACCACTGGTCTTGGGGAGTGGAATGCGAGACGTACTAGGTCTCACGGTGTGGTTCCCCTTGGAAGACGTGGGTTGAAATTCCACAGTGTCGTCCTGGGGTGTTGGGCTCGTAGTGTGGTGATTCTCGTACGCCTCCTCGTCACCAGCTGGAATAGTGGATACACGTTTCCTCGGCTCGGACCGCTCATCGCCGTTCTTTGACTGTTCGGTCGATTCCGAGTTTGTGCGGTCTCGTGCACGCCGGCTTGTGCTTTGCGAACGACTGTTGGACCTGCTAGATCGGCCGACCCTGAAGCCAGCCTCTTCTAGTTCTCGAGTTTCAATCTCCTTGAGTTTGTCTCGGTGAATCCAGTTGTTTTCATCATATTCAGGGTCCGACTGACCGCCCTTGGAAGTCTTCTTCTTGGGCTTTCCCTTGATGCTGGAGGGTCCTCTTTTGTTGTTAGTATGAGTCTTGTAGTACTCCAAGACACTGTCCTGGTCCGTGTTGCTAGCAATCATTTCCCCGCTCTTCTTCTTGTGCAGTTCGTCGACGCGATCGGAAACGGGCTGAGATCGGCTCTGGTCTTGGGAGCCCCACGTAGGTGAGCGTACGGGCTGGGCAAAGCCGTTTACCTGTGAGCTGTAGGACTGATGGGCACCGTGAGTGTAGGCGCCGTACTCGGACATGTGGTGTTCTTGGTCAAGCGACTCTCTCTGTGCACGCGGTTAGCTGGCTAGTCCATACACTGACATCATTGGTGAAAGCGGGAATTATGTGGCAAGTGGGCAGGCTTGGCGAAGCGGAAGCACCGTGGTCCAGCGCCGCAGTAGCGCATCTAGTGCGAGGGCGACAAGTGTTTGATGTGTTGTGCGACATGTGGACAGCAAAGGGGAAATGAGTACGCACCAAGCCGTTGACGGGAACAGCGAAATCCCAGGATCCCCGTCCGCCGTGAGAGCTGCTGGGCGGCGTCAGCTGCTGGATGGGGGCTGCTGTGTGGCGAGAGGAGGCGAGAGCAGCCATAGACGGTGGTGCAGAAGCCGACAAGGAGGAGAAGGCGGCGGCGTGGAGGGTAGAAAGGACCCGGGGGGGGAGGGGGGGAGGAGGTGCGAGTGACGATGTTGACAGCAGGCGTTGCCAGCCTGTACGCCCGGGGAATGAGGCAAGGCTGCTAGGAGACGACGGGGGTTTGGCGGTGGGCGCTCGTTACTATGGAGCACTCGTGACTACCAGCAAAGCGCCATGGGCGAGCAGGAGCAGAGGACGTGGTGGGTGTGGGGACACACGGGTCCGAGACGGCGAGGGGCGGTGCTTTGGATGCGCGTTGCAAGCAGATTCCCTGCAGGGCCGGCCGTTGAGTGGTGGCAAGGGAGCAAGGTGAAGGGGACAAGGAAAAAAAAGAGGCCAAGTACAGTGGTGGTGGCAGCGAGGGCAAAGGAGAAGAGTAGCGATTGAAGGGCCGGCGTCGCGTGCTCAGCGTTCCAGCAGCTGCAGACAAAAAGGGCGTGGGCAAGGCGCGACGGGATGAGGGAGCCCCGTCAGGAGGAGAGAGGACGTGAGAGCTGTCGAGCGCCGTCGAGCGCTCAGAGCCGGGGAGCAGGGCGATTCGTGCTTGGCAGCAGACTGCGCTGCTCGGGCCTCGACTAATCTGCGGCCCCGGCTCCCAAAGTGGTTTTGCGGCCGTCGTAGGAGCTGCTGGTCCTGCCAGCCGACGGGCATGGCGGCGTCGACTATTGATTGAGTTGCGAAGAAGCAAATCCGCACCCTCACGCCCGTGGCCGCACCCCCTTGTGGCCGTCGTCCCTGGCCGCGCCTCATGGCCAACACGACCACCAACAGCAGCATCGTGTAACAAGACCCGGTCGCCGGGCAGACTCACGGCGCACCAGCATGAACGGTCTGGTTGTTGTTGCTCGTGTTGTGCACGCCGACTGCCCAGTGCACAACTGCCAGACAAGCTTCCGTCTCCCTGCGCCTTTCCCGTTCCTGGCAAGATGAGTAGTCTGCGGCAACGGCCCAGGGTTCCGCGTCGTGGCCAGTGGGACGCGTCTGCTTGTCAGAGTTAAGCAAGCAGGCGCCGGCACACGACTGCAAACTGTGCGAGCATACAGCAGCTGTATCATCATTGGCACAAACACACTGCCATGTGCACCAGGGAACATCCCGTCGGAAGGATGCATGGCCAGCCCATGGGACGACCCACGACCCGCGCCCAACGGCCGGGTCGACGGTGGGTTTGAGTAGACAAGATGATCACCATCAAAATCGTCTTGGATGCTCAGTCTGGAACTCCAAAGATTCCAAGCTATGAACCGAACGCGATCATCCCTACCAGCCAAACGTTTCATCGTACCAAAACACATCGTGGCCCTTCTTCACCCATACCTCGACACTGCTCCTGAGATCGTCCGTCATCCGCTTGGGACCACAGCAAATCACAGCACTCCGCACCCCCTTGCTGAACACCTCGTCTACAATTCCCCTGAGATCGGGCCTCCCACTCTTGATCGCCATGCCCTTGCCTGGCTTCTCCATCTGCTCCTCCATGCTCAACAGCTGCTCATTCTCCTGCATTTCGATCGCCTCTCCATCTTCGTCATCCGAATCAACGGCGAATGCACCACCAGACGCATTCGCATTGACTTGCAGATTTGGACCCGCCGGTCGTGTCACATAAACCTCCACGTTGCTCGGTCCGTGCAGCAGCCCATTTCCGTTCGCTTGCATCCCTGCACCGCCATCATCATCATCATCATCATCATCGTCAGTGTCATCGTCCATCTGCTTATCCCCAGATTGCGTCTTGGCAGGGAATGCCCATTGTGTCTCGACAAGCTTCTGCACTGCCCATATGAATCGGATCTGCGTGCTCATAGGCGTGAGGCTGTGAAGCTCGCGAATGCTCCGATAGATGGGCATAACAAAAGTTGCTCCGACGCCACCAGCTACCAAAAGCACTTTGTCATAATCTGACAGGTCTGGCAGCCGGGTCGATCCGCCATAAGGCCCCTCAAGAGTCAGTGGCAATATTGGAATGTCGCCGCCCGCGGTGGGCAGCATGGGTACGCTGCTGCCCCCCTGTGCCAGAGATCGCGCAAGCTCTGCAAGGTACTTTGTGTTCCCGTTGAGCGTTCTCGCAATCAGTAGCAATTCCTTGTCCTTGGATGGGAGAGACGCAATTGTGAATGGGTTTGTCTTGTTAGCAGCGAGCATTTGATTGTACCACTTGGGAGTCTTGCCCTGATTCCCGGGTTTGCTGAGGTACACATGCTGTCCAGGTTTCCAGGTTAGAGCTTTGCTGTCTGATGGTAGTGGAATGCGAACTTGAACCAGATTGGTGCCGGGGAGAAGCTTGATAGTGCCTTGATACGTCTTGAGACGCAAAGCACGGAAGATGAGATGGAGAGCCTCTACCGCAATGATTTCATACACGTAGACGCGGAGATACGATACGTGAAGAAATAGCGGCACAATAATCAAGTTTGCAATGGCAATGTGTGAAATATAGAAGACGCGGTAGTTTCGCCTCCGCACGAACCCAAGGGCAGTGGTGCTGATGATGGAAAAAAGTAAGATACTGGTGAGGCCCCAGATGACGTCCCAGTCCTTGATTCGCTTTGCAATGAAGCCGGACAAGACGAAGAAGTTGAGGTAGAATGCCGTGTGCAACAGGAACAGAAGGAATACGATGCGTCCTAGAATTTGATGGAAGTTCTTGATCTGCTCGTGTGAGAGTCGCGTCAGAAACTGCACCGGGCTGTACGGTGCTCGCATGGCCAACAGGTAGTGAATTGGTAGTTGTGATGCGCCAATTTGCCCAAACCGCTTCGTCAGATGAAGATAATCTACACTTGATTAATCAAACTAAGAAAAACGAAGCTCCAAAATGAAATCCAACATACCTTTTCCAGTGTGTGCAACACAGAGGTACAGCAGCCATATTGTCCATGCAGCCGCACCGATCCACTCTCCTCTTGTTCCCCAGGCCCAACCCCTAATGACATCTTTTCGCATCCACCATATGATCCTGTTGCACCCGCCGTGCACTCGTCTCAACCAGCCCAACCTATCGTTTGTGCTTTTTGCAAAGGAAGGAGATTTTGGCTGATCATACTTCAAGCCACTTTTGATCACCCATGAAACGGCAAAGCCCAGCTGGAATAGTGCAAAAATGACCAGCACCGACCACTGGGCGACAAATCCATACCAGTCCAGATATTCGCGGCGTTGGTGCTTCTGCTTGTCGTCGAGGGTTTCAAAATAGTACCCCAGAGCCCAGTACCGATCCGTCTTCACCTCATGGTGACCCTCGTGGCGGCGGGAGAGGAGATCCATAGTACTGGTTTTGTCAAAGCATGCGGTGTAAGCTTTATAGAAGAACTTCCCGCGACAGCGGAAACCTCGGCTAGGTAGCAACAATTAGTACTCTGGCGGTGAGGTTTGGCTAGCCAGAAAATAAGTCGGGATCCAAAACAATCAAGGTAGAGAGCTGTTTTATTTGATGATATGATAGGTACTCTGACTGTTGTGTACGTGTCACGATCACGGCCACAAGTCGAAGTCGGTGGATGGCTAGACTTTCCCACTTGGACGGTATTTGCTGACTGACTGGCGCCAAAAAACGCGATAAGCCAATGGCACATGTGCTATATTCGGGTAATACAAGTACACCCACCTTTTGTTAAGCTCTACCACCTTTCAGCCCTTTTTTTGTCACGAATTTTTGTGAAACTCAGTCTGGGGGTTGTCGTATGGTTATGCGCGAAGTTTGGGGCTTGAATAAAGAGGCGTTGTATTCAAGCGTTGATGGGCATGGGTCTACTATTTGCTACACAGGCGGTTAGGCCACCCCGCTAAACACGGTCATGCATGGCCAAGCGGCGTGTGTGGCGCCCATGTGTACCACAGATGGTGCAAGCTGTCTTCCCAAACTGGTCATTATTGGTAACGAATTGCAATATACGTACATGTGCACTATGTCTGCTGCTGCTCCCAAGACCCCGATTTGGCTCGACTGCGTGTGTACCTGCTTTCACCTTCTACGCATCCCATGAGTACTGACCCGAGCCCCGTAAGGATACCGGCCATGATGTGAGTGTGTGATAGCTGCATCGCCGCCCGCTTGTTACTCAACGTTGTGCCTCAGGATGCTTACGCACTTCTTTTGTGTGCCCATGACCCTCAAGTCGAGCTGCTTGGTGTAAGCACAGTTCACGGCAACGCTGCGCTCGACCAGACGACCTACAACACTAGGGCGGTACTCGAAGCCGTTGGTAGGCGCGATGTCAAAGTATACTCTGGCGCAGCGAAACCGATTACCCGCGATGCTGTACACGCAGCCGATATCCATGGTACCTACAAGACTTAAAACCCAGTGAACACGTACTGATATTGGCAGGCGAATCCGGGCTAGATGGAGTCACATTGCTTCCAGTGCCAGTTGAGCCAGCAGCCACCGATGTCGACCATCTCGAGGCCGCATACCGGGCACTCATTGCTACACCCCCGGACACTGCCTGGCTAGTTTCCACAGGTACCCTGACCAACATTGGCTTGCTGTTCCAGAAATACCCCGATCTTGCAGGCCACATCAAAGGCCTCAGCATCATGGGAGGAGCTGTCGGCGGAGGCTTCACAGATGCACCAATGGGTAAAGTAGAAGGCGAGGGAGAGAGGTTTGGCAACTGGACCCCCTACGCTGAGTTCAACGTAAACCTTGGCTTTCCCGACCCTATTCTTCTCAACCCACAAGCTAACCCCATGACAGATCTACGTAAACGCTCACCTCTCATGCCTACTACAAAATAAACACTAACACCCACAGTGCGACCCCGAAGCCTCGCACCTCATCTTCTCCAACCCCATCCTACGCCCCAAAACAACCCTCATCCCCCTCGACCTCACCCACCAAGTCCTCGGCACCCGCAAAGTCCGGCAAACCCTCCTCTACGGCTCCGGAATCTGGGACACGTCTTCACGCACATGCGAAAAAGATGGTCCGACACCAACCCCCTTGCGCGCCCTCTTCACGCAGATAATGTCCTTCTTCGCCTCGACCTACGCCGACGTCTTCTCCATCACCCAAGGACCGCCTTTGCACGACCCCCTCGCCGTCTCCGCAGCATACAACCCGCGCATCTTCGACGACCGAGACGGCGAGCGCTTCCTCGTCGACATCGTCACCGACGGCCTTCACTCGTCTGATCAAGCCCTCGTCGCCGAGCTCGGCAGGACTAAAGTCACCAAACTGCCCCCCGGCCACCCTGGCTGCAGGATCCCCCGAGCAGTCGACCTCGACGCTTTTTGGGCCTCCATCGAGACTGCCCTCGCAACTGCGGATGCTGCTAGTCCATTGCCTACTGTCCAGCCTGCCGACTTGGAGCGTGCCGGCGTTTATGAGGGCGTCGGCACGCCTTGGTGAGATTTTCTTTCTTTTTTGGGAGACTGAATTAGTTGGGTTGGGCTAGACTCGAACTGATTGCGATAACCGTTCCGATATGGGGATTATTATTTCTTTTTTGTCCAAGAAGAGAGAGAAAGA